TATCAGCAGCAAGAGAAGAAGGACTACAATGAAGTGTATGCCCCTGTGGTGAAGGGTACAACCCTTCGAACCCTCTTCGCCGCGGCGGCCATCAAAGTTTGGGTGGTGAAGCAAATGGATATAGTAACGGCCTTCCTCAACGGCGTTTTGGAGGAAGAGACCTACATGGAGCAGCCAGAGGGGTACAATGATGGGAGTGGCAGAGTGTGGAAGCTGAAGAAAGCACTCTATGGCCTCAAGCAAGCCCCTAGGCAATGGTACATCAAGCTGTGGGAAGTCTTGGAGGCGATCGGTTTCACTCCCTCAACGGCCGATCAATCCTTGTTCATGCTTGGCGAGGGGGAGCAGAGGAGCTTCATGGTGGTTTATGTGGATGAAATCCTCATATTCTCACCCTCCTCTGACCTTGAGAAGGAGGTGATGCTGAAGCTTCAAGACAAGTTCAAGTGCAAGACCCTTGGTGACGTCAACTACTACCTTGGGCTTCACATTGAGCGAGATGTGGAGAAGCGGTGGATGCGAGTGCATCAAAAGAAGTACTTGGAGGCCTTGGCTGCAAACTTTGGGAAGAGTGAAGATCATGTGGCTACTCCTCTTCCCTCAGGGTTCAAGTGTGTGAAAGGACCAGCGGAGGAAAGTGTTGATGAAGAGGAGAGGCGCCGTTTTCACTCCTTGGTGGGCAGCCTCATGTATGCGGCCGTTCACACAAGGCCGGATGCAGCCTTTGCTACCGGGCAGCTGGCTAGGGTTGTCCAATGCCCTAATGAAGAGCAGGTAGCTGCTGGAGAGAGGGTGGCCAAGTACCTTGGCCAAACAGCAACTGTTGGACTGCAATACTCCGCGGCGGCACAAAGGCGTCAAAAGGGTGCGGATGGAGTCGAACCCGAGAGGCTCTTTCTCACCGCCTTCTCTGATGCATCTTGGGCATCAGAACCAGAGGACATGACAAGTGTGGGAGGCTTCATCTGCTGTGTTGGTGGAGGACCAACAGCTTGGGAGAGCAAGAAACAAGTGGACCAAGCATTGAGCTCGGTGGAGTCCGAGTTCATGGCACTCTTCCGTGCCATAAGAGAGGTTGTGTGGCAGCGGCGTTTGCTAGCTGAATTGGGGGAGGAGCAGCAAGGACCTACCCCACTCTATTGTGATAGCCAAGGTGCTGTTGCATTGGCAAAGAACCCCGTTCTTCATGGCCTTACCAAGCACATGAAGGTGAAGTGGCATTGGGTGAGGAGCATGGTAACCGCGGGTGAAGTGGAGTTGCACTACGTGAAGACGACGGCGCAGCCAGCTGATATGATGACCAAGAGGCTGGTTGAGCAGCAGCATTGGAAGTGTTGCAAGCTTGCTGGGATGGCTCTGAACTAAGCGGAGCTGATTCTAAGGCCAACAATCCGAGGGGGAGTTTGTTGGTGCAACCCTATGGCTTGCACTCGGCTTGTCGTCCTTGTTTGTGTGTGTGCATGCATGGCATGGAATGAATTGTGAGTCTATGTCATTGCTATCCAGTGCTTGTGTGTGTGTTTGAATGGTGTATCACAATGTGGTTTGTGTCGGTCAAGACATTAGCGAGTTTTTACAACTCGCATGTCAAGTCGTCGTTTGTGTGTCGCATTTGTTTTTTCTATTTTGTCAAGTGTGAAGTGTCCATCGTGTCGCAGGTGTGTACAGCAAGCCCCCATCAACTCAAGAAGAATTTACCTTGCAGATCCAAGAACAAGAGCTCAAGATTTCAAGCCCAAGGGACGCGGATAAATATTAAATAGTGAAAATAGTAACTTTACTTCGTGTAGAGTTACAGTTCACTTGGTGTAGCCCCTTGGAGGGTTGGTTTCGAGACTCTTCATGGTTGGGGACTCTGTGGTGGTGTACCACCAACCTAGACCTCGGCTCTTGGGGTATGTTGAGGCTGGGAACCATCTCCCTCTCGAACTCTTCTTGCTAAGTTTGTACTCCTAAGACTATAGTGGCTGCTTTACCTCCTGCCAGTCAAACCGCCATAGCGTCGTCAAATCTTCATGGAATTTCATGATTCAACTTGCTGCTGATAGACGACAGCAACGGGCTCCAGATCCAACTTACAAATCACCGTTTGATTCAGTGACCAGATCGTTATCAATATTTGAAGCCGTCTGACGGAAATCCGACTGTGCTCTCTATCTCTCATTATAGGCACATCTAAGCCTATTGTGATTATAACAGTATGTTCTTGTTTTGGTCACCCTGAATTATCAGCCTTAAAGCCTGCATCTCATAATTCTTGTTTATGATCAAAGGTAATACGCTTGGTACTCTGTAACTCGACTTTCCCAGCAAGCGAGGGCCAAAAGTGCTTGCGAGAGGGGTGTGGCGAGGGTGACCTGTCAAACCAGCGAGGCGTGGATCTTAAGGTTGTAAAATCATTCGAGTTCGTTGAAACGAGGAGTGGTGACAGATTAGAAAATTTCGCGAGGGTGCGTCGCGAAAATTGCTTCGGGTTAGAATACGAACCGAAACTGCAACCTGAAGCCTACCCTGACCCGAGACTTCACGCCCCCTGAAAGTCGAGAGCTGAAACCAAACGTAATACGGCCAGACAGAAATACGAGACTCAGAGCTTTCCCAAGTGCTGGCTTCTTCGATTGGTCCCGAAATTGATTGTTCCTAGCTACCTTCGTCAAACCCACCTCTGCTTTTCGAGCTTCGCCCACCAATCAAGCTCGCCACTTTCGAACCAATCGTAATACTCTAGGAAATATGAGACGCGGACTTTAACGGATTTCCAGCCTGAAACAGAATCCTTTCTGGCTGGTCGAGGTGAGCTGGAGCAGCTCTGAGGGCCGTGACTTGTCCTTCGCCAAAATGACGCAGGTGACGCAAGCTGGAGCAGATGTGAGGGGCGTGATTGGTCCTTCGCCAAAATCACGCAGGCAGTTTGACGCGAGCTGGAGCAAGTGTGAGGGGCGTGGCTGGACCTTAGGCAAAATGACGCAGGTAACGTGAATTGGAGCAGATGTGAGGGGCGTAATTGGTCCTTCGCCAAAATCACGCAGGCAGTCTGACGCGAGTTGGAGCAGGTGTGAGGGGCGTGACTGGTCCTTGGCCAAAATCATGGTACCGGTAGTAGTGTGACAATCAGTACGCAGTGAAGTCCGATCCGATCTAAGGATCAGAAACCTAAAAGATGTACCTCATTAATAAGGCTTAATTTTTTTTGCCTGACAAAACATGCCCTATCTACCATAATGTGCTAGGTTAAAATCCTACCAACCCTAAAAAATCGCCAAGGTTCAACCCTATCATCTCAGCTATGAAAAATTTCCGTCCTGATCATTCAGCCTTCGAAAAAATGTACCCTGAAAAAAATTGCATCTTCCAAAACCCTGCTGTCATAAAATCGTACTTAAGCATTTCTGTAAGTAGTTATGATAGGTATTGTCGCGTTATACGGTACCCAGCATACGTCAGCAAACAGCGCTCGTCTGGATGATTATGCCAGCAAGCTGTTTCAGTCACGCGAACAGTTGTGCCCCTTTCAGTAGCTATTAGAACGCATAGCGCAAGTAGTTTTGAACAGGTACATTACTGAACAGGTACCTCTAGCATATATATGACTAGCTTGTATTATTTCAACTATCAACTTGTTCTTCAGTAAATTCTGGTCAACACTTACAAGTTCTAAGACTTCCGCTAACTTACTAATTTACGATTCCAGCAAAGATCCTGGCTCAAGTCTTTAAGTATCACAAGGCTGTAACACTGATTTTAGTGTTACAACTTGTTCATACTGGTAGTTACTGGAGGTACTTCCAGTATTACTTTCTACTTCAAATACATGTGGTTGCAGATTCTTTACCTAGTCTCGGTCACCATTTTCAAATTACTGCAAACCCGACCCTGAAAAACAGGGGCTCCTGCTGGGGGCACCCTCAGCCAACAACCCCTCAAAATTCAATATGAAGCCCTGGATTGGATCGATCGGCGAAATTTGATTTGGCCGCAGCTTCGTAAAAGTGTCACTACAAAAATTGATGGCCTCAACATCATCATGATTCCCGCAGGAATCCTCCCTCCCTCCATCCCCCCCCCACTTTGTCCCGTCCTGTCCCTGCCCTCCCCGAATGTTGTTCTGCCCATCTCCCAATTTTCGGCAAATCAGCGTGAAATTCTGAAGTAACCCTGATTACTCAACGGAATTTTTTTTGGAGGCCTGAAAAATCAGGGTAAACATGGGGGAGCAACCCTGAGCAATCAGGGTACCTTAAAACCAATATGAGGCCCGCTTTCTTCAACCCGACTTCCGCTACGGGAGAGTGTGATTGGCTGACCTTGCATCGGCGAATGGGGCATGTGGCATTGCCCATTTTGCAGCAGATAGTTAAGCAAGAGATGGTCAGTGGGATACGTGTCAAGGGGGAGCCCAATGAGGTGCTTGGCAAGCCAAGTTCACCCGCTACTCGCTCCATAGCTCGGAGACAACGGCGAAGGCACCACTTGATGAGGTGGTGATGGATGTGGTGGGCTCCTTGAAGCTTGTGTTGGTGCATATTCATTTGCACGTCATCCTGTCGTCTGTTCGCATCATTTCGTTTGCATGTGTTTTGTGTGCTACGTTGTTTGTATGGTTTGTTGGGTTTGCATGTCTTTGCATGTTCATCTTGTGCTTGTGCAGATGTGCTTGGATTGTGCATGACATCGAGCACATTCCAACGAGCCAAGAATTGTTGGAATCGGAGCACATATGAAGAAGTTACGAAGAAATGTTTGATGGATTTGTTACAACTCATTGGAAGTCCTTGTCAGCTGCTACACCAAAGTTGGAGAGCCCTATAACGAGGAGGGACCAGCATGTGTGGGACTTTTGTCCCCACCTTGCAGCTGCAGCATTTGGGGTTTGGAGGCCAACCTGGCACAGTGTGAAATTTGTCTTGCCAGGCTGGCTGAACCTGAGGATGGGGAGTCAAAACTTTGACTCTTGTCATGTTCTTGACCATGGGCCTCCAGGGTCCTTCCCTTTCATCCTTCACTTCTACCCCACCTTCCAACTGTGTTTCAATGCCTTTTCTATCATGCCTCTGATCTTGTAAGCTTCAATCATAGTGACTCTGAGGACTGTCAACTTCTCCTAGGGCAGATTACCCCCAGTGCGCCAAACGCCATAGCTCACTCGTTTAGCTACGGAATCGAGTGATTCAACTTTCAGTGGAAAGCTGACACTGCCAGCTACAACATATCCGATTTTCAGATCGTTTCACCGATTGGAGTTTTTGATATAGCTATTCGAAGGTCGCGAGTTTTCTGGGCGTCATAACGAAGTGCTGCAGAAATTTCCAAGGAGCCATTGAATCATCTGCTTATAGCCTTCTCTAACCAACAAGTGGCATCAGAGCCTATTATCACGCATTTGGGACCTAAAATACGATGGGAGATAAAGAGGACTCTGGTGGAGGTGATACTTCAGTCCAAGGAGGCAGCTCAACCCAAGATTCTGGCATTGCAGCGCAAAGGGGAGCGCGTACAAGCCAGGGGTCACTGCTTAAGGAGGTGCTGAAGAACTTCACCATTGAGAAGTTCTCTGGAGATGGCTATGATGATTGGGCATGGAAGATGCAGCTCTACTTTCGACAAATTGGCCTCTTGAAGCTCATGATTGGAACGGAGCCAAGGCCAAAGGAAATGGCAGAGCAAGCGGACTGGGATGAACGTTCATCTGCTGGGTACTATCTACTGTCACAAAGCTTGGAGCTGAACCAGAGGCATCACATCATGCATCTGCTACCGGAAATTGATTGTGGGCCCAAGGCATGGGCAGTGCTCAAGGACCTGCACGCTCCGACATCGGTTGCCGCTTCTCTCATGCTGGATCGGGAGCTGTCCATGCTGCGGTTGAGCGAGAATGAAGCTGTGCAGCCCGTACTGGACAAGATGAGGGAACTCTACGCGAAATTGGCGATTGCAGGCATCACGTACCCAGAGCAGACAAAGTGTCTCAAGATGCTCAGCCTGCTGCCGGAGTCTTGGCTGCAATTTATAAGCGGACTCAGCTTGCCACAAAACCAAAGTCAATGGACATTGGAGTGGATTCGCACCAAGATTCTGGAAGAAGATTTTCGTCGCTATACACTGCGCGGAGGTGATGACAGCACCAGCGGCTATGCCATGCAAGGGACATGGAGGGATCGAGGGCGTGGCAATCGCGGTCGCTCTTACCACAGCCAAGGTGGTCGCGGGACTTGGAACCAGCGGGGGCGTGGTGGCGCTGGTGCAAGAGGAAGAGGTGGTCACTCCAACAATGACAACAGTGAACCACGCTTGAGGGGAGAGTGCTGGTATTGCAAGGAAGAAGGGCATCCATGGTTTCGCTGCCCTACCAAGCCCGACTGGTGGACCCTTGGAACCAATCGGAGAAGGGGAATGGAGGAAAACAACCACATGGAGGTGCCAACATGGTAGCTGATCCTGCTGAAGAAACCTCCAAGGATGACAGAGGAATGCGAAATGAGGAGAGGAATGCTGGACAGTTCTACCATGTGTGTGACAAAGATGACAGTGGCACAGCTGTTGCAAGGGCTGGAGAGGAATTGCACCCGCTTGACATGTGGGTCATGGACTCTGGTGCTGCATGGACAATGACACCACGCAAGGACTTGCTGGATGCTGTGCGAGCGCCTCCAATCTCTGAAGTGCGCTCAGCATCCGGACATGCAGTGAAGGTCGCTGGAGTTGGTCGAGCTGCATTCAGAGCACCTGATGGTGGACTGGTTGTGCTGAAGGATGTGTTACTCGTACCGGGGCTGAAGGCCAACCTGATATCGCTGCGCAAGCTAGGCCAGGCCGGAGTCAGCACCACCACCAATGGATCCAAAACATTCAAGGGGCTGCGAGGAGATCGTGTGTTATGGGATTTACACGAAAGCAGAGATGTCTTCAGATCCATGTGGCAGATCCCTGCACTGATATGGGAATCAACAAAGAAGGAGTTGGGAGAAGTAAAGGCGGGTTCTGGAGTCCAGGGGAGTGTAATGCAGTTAGTGCTGCAGGAGTGACGGTTTCTGCAAGGTCGGGGGAGACTGATTGGGAAACCGCACACAGGCGTCTAGGGCATGTGGCTATGCCATTGCTGCAGCAACTGCATAAGGAAGAAGCAGTAAAGGGGCTCAAGCTTTCTGGGCAACCAAATGCTACCAAGTGCGAGACGTGTCTGCTGAGCAAGTTCACACGGTTCCCCTTTCACGGCGTAGCTGGGAAAAGCAAGGCAGCACTGGAACTGGTGCACATGGACCTCGTAGGACCTTTTCCAGTCCGAGGAAGTAAGGGGGAAAGGTACTTCCTGACAATAGTTGATGACTGGAGTCGGCTGATGTGGGCATACCCGTTGAAGCAGAAGGATCATGCTGCCTCAACAATACGAGATGATTGGCTGCCGTTCGTCGAGCGACAATCTGGGCACCCATGCAAGAGCATCAGAACCGACCGAGGTGGAGAGTTTCTAGGAGGAGATCTGACTGCGTGGCTCAAGAAACAAGGCATTGAGCATCAGCTAACGACGTCCTATACCCCTCAGTCAAATGGCGTTGCTGAGAGGGCTAATAGGACCATCCTGGAAACTGCGCGAGCGCTGCTGATCGAATCAGGGCTGGGGAACTCCATGTGGCCTCATGCGGTGAGGCATGCTACAGTGGCAAGGAACCGCGTACTCACAAAGGTGGCTGATGATATGTGGGTGCCGCTGGAGAGGTGGCTTGGAAAGAAGCCTCCAGTGGACATGCTTCGAGTGGTCGGATGCATGGCAGTGGCGCATGTCCCTAAACCGTACAGGACAAAGCTTGGAGCATCTGCACTGTGGTGTGTGCACCTTGGGCTTGCGGCAGAGAGCAAGGGGTGGCTACTCTGGGAGCCCTCAAAGAATGTGCTGTTTGATAGTCGGGATGTCAAATTTGTGGAGAACATCATGTATGGCAAGTGGGAGAAGCAGCCGGAGGCAAGGGTCACCCAGCAGCTGGAAGAGATCACTATGCACTTCGATCTGTCCGAACCTGAGGACAGCGAAGTCACTGCGCCAACGGCAAGCGGTACTGATGAAGGAAGCAATGAGGATATTGCAGCTGATGCTGAAGTCAAGGATCCGGAGCAGCAGCAGCAAGAGGCTTCCAAAACACCAAGTCTGTCAAAGCGAAGGAAACAGATTGGAACCAGCGGGGCGTGGGGCGTGGTGGCGCTGGTGCTTTGTTGATTCCCATATCAGTGCAGGGATCTGCCACATGGATCTGAAGACATCTCTGCTTTCGTGTAAATCCCATAACACACGATCTCCTCGCAGCCCCTTGAATGTTTTGGATCCATTGGTGGTGGTGCTGACTCCGGCCTGGCCTAGCTTGCGCAGCGATATCAGGTTGGCCTTCAGCCCGGTACGAGTAACACATCCTTCAGCACAACCAGTCCACCATCAGGTGCTCTGAATGCAGCTCGACCAACTCCAGCGACCTTCACTGCATGTCCGGATGCTGAGCGCACTTCAGAGATTGGAGGCGCTCGCACAGCATCCAGCAAGTCCTTGCGTGGTGTCATTGTCCATGCAGCACCAGAGTCCATGACCCACATGTCAAGCGGGTGCAATTCCTCTCCAGCCCTTGCAACAGCTGTGCCACTGTCATCTTTGTCACACACATGGTAGAACTGTCCAGCATTCCTCTCCTCATTTCGCATTCCTCTGTCATCCTTGGAGGTTTCTTCAGCAGGATCAGCTACCATGTTGGCACCTCCATGTGGTTGTTTTCCTCCATTCCCCTTCTCCGATTGGTTCCAAGGGGTCCACCAGTCGGGCTTGGTAGGGCAGCGAAACCATGGATGCCCTTCTTCCTTGCAATACCAGCACTCTCCCCTCAAGCGTGGTTCACTGTTGTCATTGTTGGAGTGACCACCTCTTCCTCTTGCACCAGCGCCACCACGCCCCCGCTGGTTCCAAGTCCCGCGACCAACTTCAGGACCTATCTGGCGGAAAGAGGAATCAGACGCCTGGTGTCTCTGCCCTACGCTCACCAGCAGCAGGGGGTCGCAGAACGCATGAATCGGACGTTGCAGACGACGATGCGAAAGCTGCTCCTGGGGATGAGACTGCCCACCACACTGTGGCCAGACGCAATGACACATGCAGTCCACCTGCACAACCTGTTGTCCTCGTCATCGCTTCCAACAACGCATCACCGCACCTGCTGTGGACACGGAAAAAAGGGGCAGCACAAAATTACTTCGAGTTTTCGGCTGCATGGTACAGTACAGACCCCACACAGCCCGAGCAGGACGCTTCACTCAACGAGTTCGGTGGGGACTACACCTCGGCATCGCAAAACATTTTCACGTATGGAAAATTCTCGACATACAAGACAAAAATACAGTGGCATCACGTGATGTTATCTTCTACGAGCGACTGACGCTGCAGCATTACCTGGACAACATTGCCAACACACACGACCCACCGACGGCCTCGCGGGCCTTCGTTCCTTCGCCGACCGTGCTGCCGAGGCTGACGCAGAAAAGAAGACGTACCTGGAGCCTCGGAAGCTGCCGACCACTCCCTTTCTGTTCCGTACCTGTTCCACTCGACGAAGACAATCCCCTCGATAGTAACAACCTCGACACCTTTTACCACTTCGCTGACCAAGGTTACATTACACCCCACCCGGTCGACACAAATGTTTCAGAATGTATCGGCCCCAACTTCTTACCTGATCCAGAAGATGGTGACGAAGCAGCCTATTCCGGGAATGAAAATTCCCCTCGACACACACCCACGGGAGTGCAGATCCTCGGCCTCTTGGTCTCCGTCCAGCATCCGCTGCCGCCATCTCTGCGCGAGCCCTCTGTTACAAACAGAAAGGTTTGGTTTATTGATGAAGCAAAGGCATTACATAGGAAGAGAGAGATGAGCTAGGAAGGGAAGGTTGGAAGGGAAAGGGGGGTTAGGACCAATCACAAGGGAGGGAGGATCCTTCCAAATGTGGTTGACCACCAGTTGGAGGTGGTCCAAGTGTGGTGTACCACCAGTGGTTTAGCCAACCCACTTGTGGTGCCCCCACAATTGTGGTCCTTGTGTTTGGGGGCTCCAACCACAATTGGGTTGGATTGACACCCCAACACAGGTGTACACCCAACTAGAGATGTAAACACAATATACACAACTAGCATAGCATGGTATATTCTAACACCCTCGACTTTGTCGGCAGGCTCTGGGGGGGAACATAAGGCGAAATGGAAGGAGGCGATGGAAAAGGAGCTAAAGGCTCTGCAAGACCGAAATACATGGAAGCTGGTACCTGCAACAAGCATCAACGGGAAGAACGTCCTCTCGGGAAAATGGGTGTACCTCATCAAGACCAACGCGGACAGCTCCATCGAACGATTCAAAGCTCGATGGGTCGTACGAGGCTTCGATCAACGATATGGAACCGACTACACAGAAACTTTTGCCCCAGTCTCCCGTCACACCTCCCTGCGCATCCTACTCGCCGTCGCGGCCACGAAGAAACTACCATTGCGCCAAATCGACGTCGCAAATGCTTTCCTGTACGCACCTGTGGACGCCGAGATCTTCGTCGAGCAGCCCCACGGATTCATCGACGACCCTACAAAAGTATGCCAGCTGATAAAATCCCTCTACGGGATCAAACAAGCTCCGCGGCTGTGGCAGCAGCATCTTCACGGCCGCCTCGTCAGAATCGGCTTCCTACAACTGCCGCACGACCAAGGCATGTATCGACTACAGAAGGAAGTAGCCTTTATCCTTCTCATCGTCTACGTCGACGACCTGCTCTTCATCGGCTCCACTACCGACATCGCCACCTGGTTCGAAGGGGAGCTGAAAGAAGACTTGACACTCACGGTGTCCGACGCAGTGACCTAGTACCTGGGACTGAATGTCGTCGAAGACAACTCGGCGTTCTACCTACACGCTGGAAAGTACGCAGGCACTGTCGCGAAGAAATTCGGTCTAACGCCGACTACGGTCCCAACTCCCTACCGCTACGGGAACAACAACATCACCTCCGCAAAACTCACCTCAGCACCTTAAAGGGTACAACACTCTTAGGTATATACACTTGTTCTCTCCCTCTATCCAATCATTCAATTGTTCTTTCAGATGGTATCACCCGTAGGTTGGTTCCCCTCCACCTACCGCTTCCGCCCGTGCCTCCTAGGCCCCGCCACCCCCTCGGTTCCTCCTAGGCCCCGTCGCGCCCCCCTGGGCCCCACCGCGCTGCCTAGGCCCCGTCGCGCCCCCCTGGGCCCCATCGCGCTGCCTAGGCCCCGTCGTGCCCCTCCTGGGCCCCTTCGTGCCCCGTAGGCCCCGTCGTGCCCCCCCTGGGCCCCATCGCGCTGCCTAGGCCCCGTCGCGCCCCCCCCTGGGCCCCATCGCGCTGCCTAGGCCCTGTCGCGCCCCTCCTGGGCCCCTTCGTGCCCAGTAGGCCCCGTCGCGCCCCCCTGGGCCCCATCGCGCTGCCTAGGCCCTGTCGCGCCCCCCCTGGGCCCCATCGCGCTGCCTAGGCCCCGTCGCGCCCCTCCTGGGCCCCTTCGTGCCCCGTAGGCCCCGTCGCGCCCCCCTGGGCCCCATCGTGCCTCCTAGGCCTCGTCGCGCCCCCTGGGCTCCATCGCGCCTCCTAGGCCCCGTCGCGCCCCCCTGGGCCCCATCGCGCTGCCTAGGCCCCGTCGCGCCCCTCGTGGGCCCCTTCGTGCCCCGTAGGTCCCGTCGCGCCCCCCTGGGCCCCATCGTGCCTCCTAGGCCCCGTCGCGCCCCCCTGGGCCCCATCGCGCTGCCTAGGCCCGTCACGCCCCTCCTGGGCCCCTCGTGCCTCCTCGACCCCGTCGCACCTGCCTGGCCCCGTTGTGCCTGCCTGGCCCCGTCGAGCCTGCCTGGCCCTCGCCGCGCTGCTTGGCCCCGCCGCGCCTGCCTGGCCCCGTCGCGCCTGCCTGGCACTGCCGCACCTGCCAGGCCCTTCCGCGCCTGCCTGGCCCCGCCGCACCTGCTTGGCCCCGCCGTGCCTTCTGGCCCCGCCGTGCCTGCCTGGCCCTGCCGCGCCTCCTGGCCCCGACGCCCCTGACTGGCCCGCCGCGCCTGCCTGGCCCTGCCGCGCCTTCTGGCCCCGCCGCGCCTTCTGGCCCCGCCGCGCCTGCCTGGCCCTGCCGCACTGCCTGGCCCCGCCACACCAGCCTGGCCCCGCCGCACTGCCTGGCCCCGCCGCGCCTGCCTGGCCCTGCCGCGCCTCCTGGCCCCGCCGCCCATGGCTGGCCCGCCGCGCTTGCCTGGCCCAGCCGCGCCTCCCTGGCCCCACCGCACCTGCCTGGCCCCGCCGCGCCTTCTGGCCCCGCCGTGCCTTCTGGCCCCGCCGCCCCTGACTGGCCCGCCGCGCCTGCCTGGCCCTGCCGTGCCTGCCTGGCCCCACCGTCCCTGCCTGCCCCTTTCGCCCCGGCTCGTCCTGCTGTGCCGCCTCGGGCTTCGTCTCCTCCGCTCGCCCGTGCTGAGACGCTTCGTGGCCACTGTGCTGGAGGGGGCTGTAGCTGAGTTCCTGTGGAGCTGTGCTGCTGACCCTGCACGATGGCGGACTTCGTGCTCCGACTGGACGCCGAGGGCCATGCGGTTGACTTCGCCGACTGGCTCTCCGATCTCCGCCGCCACCTCACAGGTCAGCGTCAGGATGGCCACTCTTTGGTTGTCCATGTTGACGGCTTGCTCCCCCGCCCCCCTGTACCTGCCCCCCTCCCTGCTGATCCCTCCTCTGATGACTGTGAGACCTTCTCTACTACTGCGCTTGCCCGTGCGGTCTGGGACTCCCGCGATGCAGTCGCTTAGGTAGCCATTAGCCATGCCCTTCCTGTCTCTGAGCGCTCGCGTTTTGCTACTATTGAGATGGCCAAAGCTTACTTAGACGCTGTTATTGCCCGCTATTCCACACCCGCGTCTGCTTCTGCTGGTCGCCTGCTCTTCCCTATGCTTTCCCAGACCTTGCTGCCTTCCCTACCGTCGCAGACTTTGCCACTCACCTGCGTGCTCTAGAGACCCGCTATCGCACTGCCAGCACTGCTGCCCAGCTCACTGCGCTCCCCCCCCCTTTCTGCATGACGCTCTATTTTATTGCCATGCGCCTGCCAGACCACCTCGCTAGTGCTCGCGATCACTTCCTTAGCCTGC